CCACCTTGATGACTTTAGTCAGTCTTCATGCCCACCTTGATGACTTTAGTCAGTCTTCATGCCTGCCTTGATGACTTTAGTCAGTCTTCATGCCCACCTTGATGACTTTAGTCAGTCTTCATTGCCACCTTGATGACTTTAGTCAGTCTTCATGTCTGCCTTGATGACTTTAGTCAGTCATCATGCCCACCTTGATGACTTTAGTCAGTCTTCATGCCTGCCTTGATGACTTTAGTCAGTCATCATGCCCACCTTGATGACTTTAGTCAGTCATCATGCCTGCCTTGATGACTTTAGTCAGTCATCATGCCTGCCTTGATGACTTTAGTCAGTCATCATGCCCACCTTGATGACTTTAGTCAGTCTTCATGCCCGCCTTGATGACTTTAGTCAGTCTTCATGCCTGCCTTGATGACTTTAGTCAGTCATCATGCCTGCCTTGATGACTTTAGTCAGTCATCATGCCCACCTTGATGACTTTAGTCAGTCATCATGCCCGCCTTGATGACTTTAGTCAGTCTTCATGCCTGCCTTGATGACTTTAGTCAGTCATCATGCCTGCCTTGATGACTTTAGTCAGTCATCATGCCTGCCTTGATGACTTTAGTCAGTCATCATGCTCGCCTTGATGACTTTAGCCAGTCATCATGCCCGCCTTGATGACTTTAGTCAGTTATCATGCCTGCCTTGATGACTTTATTCAGTCTTCATGCTTGCCATGATGACTTTAGTCAGTCATCATGCCTGCCTTGATGACTTTGGTCAGTCATCATGCCTGCCTTGATGCCTTTAGTCAGTCTTCATGCCGGCCATGATGACTTTAGTCAGTCTTCATGCCTGCCATGATGACTTTAGTCAGTCATCATGCCTGCCTTGATGACTTTAGTCAGTCATCATGCCTGCCTTGATGACTTTGGTCAGTCATCATGCCCGCCTTGATGACTTTAGGCAGTCATCATACCTGCCTTGATGACTTTAGTCAGTTATCATGCCTGCCTTGATGACTTTAGTCAGTCATCATGCCTGCCTTGATGACTTTAGTCAGTCATCATGCCTGCCTTGATGACTTTAGTCAGTCTTCATGCCTGCCATGATGACTTTAGTCCGTCATCATGCCTGCCTTGATGACTTTAGTCAGTCTTCATGCCTGCCTTGATGACTTTAGTCAGTCATTATGCCTGCCTTGATGACTTTAGTCAGTCTTCATGCCTGCCTTGATGACTTTGGTCAGTCTTCATGCCTGCCTTGATGACTTTGGTCAGTCATCATGCCTGCCTTGATGACTTTAATCAATTATCATGCCTGCCTTGATGACTTTAGTCAGTCTTCAAGCCTGCCTTGATGACTCTAGGCAGTCATCATGCCTGCCTTGATGACTTTAGTCAGTTATCATGCCTGCCTTGATGACTTTAGTCAGTCATCATGCCTGCCTTGATGCCTTTAGTCAGTCATCATGCCTGCCTTGATGCCTTTAGTCAGTCATCATGCCTGCCTTGATGACTTTGGTCAGTCATCATGCCTGCCTTGATGACTTTATTCAGTCTTCATGCCTGCCATGATGACTTTAGTCAGTCATCATGCCTGCCTTGATGACTTTGGTCAGTCATCATGCCTGCCTTGATGCCTTTAGTCAGTCTTCATGCCGGCCATGATGACTTTAGTCAGTCTTCATGCCTGCCATGATGACTTTAGTCAGTCATCATGCCTGCCTTGATGACTTTAGTCAGTCATCATGCCTGCCTTGATGACTTTGGTCAGTCATCATGCCCGCCTTGATGACTTTAGGCAGTCATCATACCTGCCTTGATGACTTTAGTCAGTTATCATGCCTGCCTTGATGACTTTAGTCAGTCATCATGCCTGCCTTGATGACTTTAGTCAGTCATCATGCCTGCCTTGATGACTTTAGTCAGTCTTCATGCCTGCCATGATGACTTTAGTCAGTCATCATGCCTGCCTTGATGACTTTAGTCAGTCATCATGCCTGCCTTGATGACTTTGGTCAGTCATCATGCCTGCCTTGATGACATTAATCAGTTATCATGCCTGCCTTGATGACTTTAGTCAGTCTTCAAGCCTGCCTTGATGACTCTAGGCAGTCATCATGCCTGCCTTGATGACTTTAGTCAGTTATCATGCCTGCCTTGATGACTTTAGTCAGTCATCATGCCTGCCTTGATGCCTTTAGTCAGTCATCATGCCTGCCTTGATGCCTTTAGTCAGTCATCATGCCTGCCTTGATGGCTTTGGTCAGTCATCATGCCTGCCTTGATGACTTTAGCCAGTCATCATGCCTGCCTTGATGACTTTAGTCAGTCATCATGCCTGCCTTGATGACGTTATTTAGCTATTGTTGCTGTTGTCGTTGTTTTAGATTCAGCTACTCAGAATGAAGTGTCCATGTAGCACGGGCTATGGTGAGCCCGTAATTGAATTCGGTTATTGGCGATGACCTCGTTACTGTGATATTTGGGTTAAAGTTTTAAATAGTGGTGAAGTTTCCTCCTTTTTCCCTGTTTCTTTTTCGCTTCTGTTTTAGTGCACTGTTGGGAGGAGAGTTTGGTGTTGTTATCTAGAACGAGGTGAGAGGAAGGAGGGGGAGGAGGAGGAGGAGGAGGAGGAGGAGGAGGAGACCCAGACTCCAGCATCAGTATTCAGAAACACGAAGTTCATTCTCCACCCCAAAGGTAGTGACCATTACTGTACCCCCAGCACCCCCCCCCCCTCTCACCCTCCCCACATACCCTTCCCACTCACCCTCCCCACACACCCTTCCCACTCACCTCCACACTCACCCTCCCCCTCTCACCCTCCCCTCTCGCCCTCCCCACTCACTTCCACACTCACCCTCCCCACTCACCCTCCCCTCTCACCCTCCCCACTCACCCTCCACACTCACCCTCCCCACTCACCCTCCCCACTCACCTCCACACTCACCCTCCCCACTCACCCTCCCCTCTCACCCTCTCCCTCTCACCCTCTCCCTCTCACCCTCCCCTCTCACCCTCCCCACCCTCCCCACTCACCCTCCCCACTCACCCTCCCCACTCACCCTTCCCACTCACCCTCCCCCCTCTCACCCTCCCCTCTTCCCCTCCCCCTCTCACCCTCCCCCTCCCCCTCCCCCTCTCACCCTCCCCCTCTCACCCTCCCCCTCTCCCCCTCCCCACCCTCCCCCTCCCCACCCTCCCCCTCTCACCCTCCCCCTCCCCACCCTCCCCCTCTCACCCTCCCCTCTCACCCTCCCCTCTCACCCTCCCCCTCTCCCCCTCCCCACCCTCCCCCTCTCACCCTCCCCTCTCACCCTCCCCTCTCACCCTCTCCCTCCCACCCTCCCCTCTCCCCTCCCCACCCTCCCCTCTCACCCTCCCCACCCTCCCCTCTCACCCTCCCCACTCATCCACCCAGTCCTCTCCCTACTCATCAACTCTGTCCACCCCCCCTCCTGCCCTCCCCAGTCATCCACCCTCCTCCCCAGTCATCCACCCTCCTCCCCAGTCATCCACCCTCCTCCCCAGTCATCCACCCTCCTCCCCAGTCATCCACCCTGGGCACCATTCCTTCCCTCCGTCCCATCCCAAACCTCAAACCTGACCGCTTCCAAGTGCTATATAGTCGTAATGGCTTGGCGCTTTCTCCTGATAGTTCCCTTCCTTATGCCATCTGGTAGTTTCGTTTCTATGAGTGCTATTACATCTGAACTTGCTTGTTATATTTGTAATCCCATCAATATTTATGCACCTTACTTTGGGAGCTCACTTTCTGCTGTCCGTTCTTGCTTAATCTCACTTCTGGATGTCTGTTCCATTGGTGCCTGAAAGCGTTCTTAAGTTCGGTAGGCTTTTAGGAGATGGTGATATTGTATGGTGAGGTGGTTACTGTGTGGTGTTGAGCTAGGCGGCCCCGAGGGAGGTGCTGGACATGGGGGTTGGTGGTCTTGTGGTGGAGGTAAGGTGATTATGAGGTAGAAGCTACTATAAAGCACTTGGAAGGGATATATAAGGAGAGGGAACCGCTCCTGTGCCAGGTAAGTTACGGGCTCACCATAGCCCGTGCTACTTGGAACTTGTTCCGAGTAGCTGAATCTATAACAACAACAATATATAAGGATAAGGATACCTAGAGCATTCTTGGAGAGTGGCTTAGAAGTTCTTCATCACCCCGAGCTCGGCCTGAGGCCAGGCTCGACTTTGTGATAACTTGGTCCAACAGGCTTTTGTTTGGAGCGGCCGGCAGGCCCACATATCCACTATAGTCTAGTTGGTCCGGTACTTCTTGCAAGAACCTGTCCAACTGCCTCTTGAATACATCCACTTTCTTTCTGGCAATATTTCTAATGCTTGCTGGGAGGGTGTTGAACACTGTCTAATGTTCAGACAGTGTTCTCTGATTGTGCCTATGGCACCTCTACTCCTCACTGGTTCTATTCTGTATTTCCTTCCATATCTTTCGTTCCAGTATGTTGTTATTCGACTGTGCAAATATAGGACCTGGCCTTTAATATCTTCCATGTATATATTATTTTATGCCTTTCTCGTCTTCTTTTCACAGAGTACATTTCGAGAACTTTGAGACGATCCCAATAATTTAGATGTTTTTATCGTGTCTATGCGTGCCGTATATGTTCTCTGTATTCCCTCTAATTCAGCATTCTCTCTTGCTCTGAAAACTTGATCTAGCTCTGAAAGAGGAAGTGAGTATCGAGCAATATTCAAGACGGGATATCACCAGTGATTTAAATAGTATTAGCATCGGAGCTCGATCTGGATTTAAACGTTCTCATAATCCATCCTATCATGTTCCTGGCCGCCGCTAAATTTGCTCGGTTATGTTCACTAAATGTGAGGTCGTCAGATCTCACTGGAAGATAATTTCCAGATCTTTTACATAATCTTTTACGTTTCCTCCCGGGGTGGGATGGGACGGGGGGAAGGAATGGTGCCCAATCACTTGTACGGTCGGGGACTGAACGCCGTCCTGCATGAAGCGAGACCGTCGCTCTACCCTCCAGCCCACACCTCTGTCGCTGGAGTGAGTCTGTGGGGGAACTGGAGGTTGGAGGAGTGAGGAGTTGGTGGGGCTGAGGGCATGTGGTACTGGGGCAGGGAGGGCATGTGGTACTGGGGCAGTGAGGGCATGTGGTACTGGGGCAGGGAGGGCATGTGGTACTGGGGCAGGGAGGGCATGTGGTACTGGGGCAGGGAGGGCTTGTGGTACTGGGGCAGGGAGGGCTTGTGGTACTGGGGCAGGGAGGGCATGTGGTACTGGGACAGGGAGGGCATGTGGTACTGGGACAGGGAGGGCATGTGGTACTGGGGCAGTGAGGGCATGTGGTACTGGGGCAGGGAGGGCATGTAGTACTGGGGCAGGGAGGGCATGTGGTACTGGGGCAGTGAGGGCATGTAGTACTGGGGCAGTGAGGGCATGTAGTACTGGGGCAGGAAGGGCATGTAGTACTGGGGCAGGAAGGGCATGTAGTACTGGGGCAGGGAATGTGGTACAGTGGCAGGGAGGGCATGTAGTACTGGAGCAGGGAGGGCATGTAGTACTGGGGCAGGGAGGGCATGTGGTACTGGAGCAGGGAGGGCATGTAGTACTGGAGCAGGGAGGGCATGTGGTACTGGAGCAGGGAGGGCATGTGGTACTGGAGCAGGGAGGGCATGTGGTACTGGAGCAGTGAGGGCATGTGTTCGGGGGGAGGGGGTCTAGGATCATGTTGCACTGTTCTCTTCGGTTGTCGACACTTCTTGAGAATATTGAGGCTGTGCGTTTCACTCTTCCCTCTCCTTGTCCTTCTTCAGCCGCTGATCTTCTTTCCTTTGACCTTGCTGTATATGTCGAGCCTGAACCCTTCGCCACACTCCTTGCGGTCCTCTCCGTCTGTCTCCCGTCAGGATCCCCGGCATGTTATATCTGTCCCTCACTCTCGACTTTTCCTGACTGGGGGCTTCCTGTGCCTTAAATACTTGTATATCTTTTTCCTCTCCAAAAGCTAGCGAGTGTATCTTGCGTCTCCGTGTGTAGTGGCTTCGTTCATGCCTACCTCCTGTGACATTGACCTGGGTTCCTCTCCCTAGACTACCAGAGAGAGAGAGAGAGAGAGAGAGAGAGAGAGAGAGAGAGAGAGAGAGAGAGAGAGAGAGAGAGAGAGAGAGAGAGAGAGAGAGAGAGCTGTACAGCTCAGCTCCTCGCCTCAAACTCTACGATAAAGCTTGAGGTCCTCTTTTCAGCCCAGCAGGTTGAGCCCTTAATTAGGAGGTGTTAGCAGGGAGAAACTCTTCAGCCAGATTTTTGTTTTGGAGAACGGCGGCCTCCGAGGAGGGACCCGGCCTCCGAGGAGGGACCCGGCCTCCGAGGAGTGACCCGGCCTCCGAGGAGGGACCCGGCCTCCGAGGAGGGACCCGGCCTCCGAGGAGTGACCCGGCCTCCGAGGAGGGGCCCGGCCTCCGAGGAGGGGCCCGGCCTCCGAGGAGGGGCCCGGCCTCCGAGGAGGGGCCCGGCCTCCGAGGAGGTACCCTGCCCCCTTCATCATCAACACAAGCTCAGGAAAATGTAAAAATGGAAGAACGTTTTTAATTGGTGTTTTGCTAACTGGGAACGGCTCCGGTACTTCAGCGGCATGTTAAATATTTCTGCGGATTTTTTATGTTTATATAAGGCAGAAATAGTTTGAAACTGTATAGGTTTTAAATGGCAATATGATTGAAATTGGGAGAGAGATATAGTAATGATAAATGATAAGAAAATGTATATAAATTTATTCAAACGTCTGTCTGTCTGCTTTTCATTTAGAAACAGTTAAATAGAAGTTGGTACAATTTTGCATGGTAGCCCCGTTTACCCCGCAACAGGACAGTCTAAATGGAATATCAGCTACTGGGCGCTGTCTTTGCCATAACTATTTTAATTAACATAAATGTAGTTTACAATCGAAGGTTTTGTAACAGTCACCCACACCCCAATCACCATTTTCTGTTTTCATCACAGAAAACCGATTCCAAAGACCATCCGGGGGAGACGAAAGGGCATCAAGTGGACCCAAACGTCGCTTCCATAATCCACAACTTTCTTGCTCTGGGGATGACTATGTAGACCTGGAAGGGCAAGTTATGGAGGTCACAATGTTAAAATGATGGCGTTCGTGTGTAGCGAAGATGTGCAGTGAATTAAAGCGCCAGTGTAGTGAGAGAGTTCACAGTCGGCGACGGTGTGGCTGGGTGCACCCTATGGGAGTCGAGTACCATGTGTACTATATATTTAGAACGCCTTCTCTTTCCCCCGAAAAGTCCCGGGTTTGCTTCCCACGGCCGGATATGGACCTCTGGGCATACCTCCTCACATTTGATGCCTCTGTTTACTTAACAGTTACTGGCCCGAAACAAACGCTACGCGTACTTGTGGCTGTACAAGAATGTAACAACTCTTGTATATATAAAGAAATAATAGGTAAATAGGTAGCAATTATTGTGGGGTTGTACACCCATTAGACAACAGTAGATGGCTTATGAATATCTTGATTCTGTTCCTGACAATGGGGATTTAATTAGAAAACCATGAATACAGAAGTAACACCCATTATGTTAGATGTCGCTCAAATAGGCCAGGTATAGGGATAATGAAATATGCCTCACAAAATGCTGTACGTTAACCTATATAACCATATAGATCAAAACAAATATATAAGAGCTTTATATCCAATAATTTTCATGTCACAAGCAGGTGTATATATATATATATATATATATATATATATATATATATATATATATATATATATATATATATATATATATATATAATATGCGAACAAGCCTGAATGGTCCCCAAGCATATATGCAACTGAAAACTCACACCCCAGAAGTGACTCGAACCCATACTGCCCGGAGCACTCTGCAACTGGTGTACAGGACCCCTTAACCACTCGACCATCACGACCGGACAAAAGATGATGGTAGAGCCGGTCGGCCGAGCGGACAGCACGCGGGACTTGTGATCCTGTGGTCCTGGGTTCAATCCCAGGCGCCGGCGAGAAACAATGGGCAGAGTTTCTTTCACCCTATGCCCCTGTTACCTAGCAGTAAATAGGTACCTGGGTGTTAGTCAGCTGTCACGGGCTGCTTCCTGGGGGTGGAGGCCTGGTCGAGGACCGGGCCGCGGGGACACTAAAAGCCCCGAAATCATCTCAAGATAACCTCAAGAAGATAGCCGAGGCTAATTCCTGGGAATTAGCCTCGGCTACTAGCCTACTAGCCTTGGGATGGGGAATTAACCTCGGCTATCATCATCTTTTGTCCGGTTACTGACGGCTACTGGGACCAGTACTGGAGGTGTCAAGGCTACTGGGACTAGTACTGGAGGTGTCAAGGCTACTGGGACTAGTACTGGAGGTGTCAAGGCTACTGGGACCAGTACTGGAGGTGTCAAGACTACTGGGACCAGTACTGGAGGTGTCAAGGCTACTGGGACCAGTACTGGAGGTGTCAAGGCTACTGGGACCAGTACTGGAGGTGTCAAGGCTACTGGGACCAGTACTGGAGGTGTCATGGCTACTGGGATCAGTACTGGAGGTGTCAAGACTACTGGGACCAGTACTGGAGGTGTCAAGGCTACTGGGACCAGTACTGGAGGTGTCAAGGCTACTGGGACTAGTACTGGAGGTGTCAAGGCTACTGGGACCAGTACTGGAGGTGTCAAGACTACTGGGACCAGTACTGGAGGTGTCAAGGCTACTGGGACCAGTACTGGAGGTGTCAAGGCTACTGGGACCAGTACTGGAGGTGTCAAGACTACTGGGACCAGTACTGGAGGTGTCAAGGCTACTGTGACCAGTACTGGAGGTGTCAAGGCTATTGGGACCAGTACTGGAGGTGTCAAGGCTACTGGGACCAGTACTGGAGGTGTCTAGGCTACTGGGACCAGTACTGGAGGTGTCAAGGCTACTGGGACCAGTACTGGAGGTGTCAAGGCTACTGGGACCAGTGCTGGAGGTGTCAAGGCTACTGGGACCAGTACTGGAGGTGTCAAGGCTACTGGGACCAGTACTGGAGGTGTCAAGGCTACTGGGACCAGTACTGGAGGTGTCAAGGCTACTGGGACCAGTACTGGAGGTGTCAAGGCTACTGGGACCAGTACTGGAGGTGTCAAGACTACTGGGACCAGTACTGGAGGTGCCAAGGCTACTGGGACCAGTTCAGGAGGTGTCAAGGCTACTGGGACCAGTACTGGAGGTGTCAAGGCTACTGGGTCCAGTACTGGAGGTGTCAAGGCTACTGGGACCAGTACAGGAGGTGTCAAGGCTACTGGGACCAGTACAGGAGGTGTCAAGGCTACTGGGACCAATTCATACGACCCAAGAGACATGACCGCACGGCCGATGGAGGTCATTACCGAGAGGTCACCGCTTGTGACCTGCGGTGTTTGGGGCTCTCACTCGGGTCGTTATAGCTGTCATTAGTGAGCAATTGGCGGATCCAGCCCTCGTTAGAGAGCTTCATAATCCTCACAACACTAACGGAGAAAGTGAGATAGTCAGCTCCTATTTTGATGGATTCTGCAAGCTTTAGTGATCGCCTATTTTGAGTAGGAGCTTCATGGCTTATAGTCTCCTGAAGCTTCAGGGGTTTATAGGTAATGATATATAAAACGGGCGATCTGCCTGGCTATCCTCGACTGTTATCTTAAGAACATAATAGTCTAAAGAATCCAGACTTTAGATTCCCGTATTGTTTGAGTCATCCTTTACATGCCAGAGAAAGCGTCCAACGCCTCTTTAAACATTCCAGTTTCAGGCGATGAGTCGCAATAACGTGGCTAAAGTATGTTGACCAGACCACACACTAGAAGGTGAAGGGACGACGACGTTTCGGTCCATCCTGGACCATTCTCAATCGACTTGAGAATGGTCCAAGACGGACCGAAACGTCGTCGTCCCTTCACCTTCTAGTGTGTGGTCTGGTCAACATTCCAGTTTCAATTGTTTGTATTCCAGTTCCAGTTGAAGTTACCAGTTCAAGGGCGTGGGTTGAAAATCCAAATTATTTTCCAGTGATTAATGTCCAGATTTTCCCTTTCCAGAGCCTCTTTCCGTTGCTTAATATTTCCAGAATTTCTCCCCCCAGACCCCCAGTTCTAGTTCAAGTTCATGATTTCAATTCCAAGATTTCAATTTCAGATTCCATTTGCACATTCCAGTTCCCAGTGATCAATATGGAACCCACACTTGGCACCTCTGTCTATTACAGCGAGGGTGGCTCCTCCCTGTCTGTCTGTTCTGTCTATTACAGCGAGGGTGGCTCCTCCCTGTCTGTCTGGTCTGTCTATTACAGCGAGGGTGGCTCCTCCCTGTCTGTCTGTTCTGTCTATTACAGCGAGGGTGGCTCCTCCCTGTCTGTCTGTTCTGTCTATTACAGCGAGGGTGGCTCCTCCCTGTCTGTCTGTTCCGTCTATTACAGCGAGAGTGGCTCCACCCCTGTCTTTGTATCAGTCTGTCTGTCTGTAGGATGCTGGGTCGACTGTAGTAGGTTAGGTTGTCTGTAGGACGTTAGACTGTCTTTCTGTCTGTATAATCGTCTGTCTATCTGTTCATCTGTCTATTTGTCTTACTGAAAGTCTTATTGACCATTCTGCGGTGCCAAACAGCCCCGAATGATATGCGATAAAGAAGTGGATGGAGGAGTCGAGAGTGCTCTCATGTTTCCTTCCTTCGTGAGTGTAATTACTCCTGGACGAGGGATAGCGAGCTACCAGACTCCTGAACACCACGAGAGAGAGAGAGAGAGAGAGAGAGAGAGAGAGAGAGAGAGAGAGAGAGAGAGAGAGAGAGAGAGAGAGAGAGAGAGAGACAGCCCCGAGTGTGAGACCGAGTGCCAGACAGCCCCGAGTGTGAGACCGAGTGCCAGACAGCCCCGAGTGTGAGTGCCAGAATTGGAAGCTGCGAAAGGTTTTAATCATTGACTTTCTAATGAACCGCTTTTGAACAGAACATATTAAGGTGAAGGAAGAGTGAAGATGTATCATAGTGTGAGGAACATAAGGGTGCATACGTATGAAGAAGCGTGAGAAGCGAGTATCAAGTGTTGCTTCATAAGATGAAGGTGACTGATATCAAGTGTTGCTTCATAAGATGAAGGTGACTGATATCAAGTGTTGCTTCATAAGATGAAGGTGACTGATATCAAGTGTTGCTTCATAAGATGAAGGTGACTGATATCAAATGTTGCTTCATAAAATAAAGATGACTGATATCAAGTATTTCTTCATAAAATAAAGATGACTGATATCAAGTATTTCTTCATAAAATAAAGATGACTGATATCAAGTATTTCTTCATAAAATAAAGATGACTGATATCAAGTATTTCTTCATAAAATAAAGATGACTGATATCAAGTATTTCTTCATAAAATAAAGATGACTGATATCAAGTATTTCTTCATAAAATAAAGATGACTGATATCAAGTATTTCTTCATAAAATAAAGATGACTGATATCAAGTATTTCTTCATAAAATAAAGATGACTGATATGACTTCAGTGATCAGTACTGAAAATATAACATTGATCTGACACTTAACTCACCCGTCAAGGGTGAGAAGTGGCCGAATATTAAAAACTTAACCTCATCTTAAAATATGATAAGAAAACGAAGGTTAATTTTGGCGATGCAAATTCTGAGGTCCAGTTTTAGAGCGCAAATTAGCCCAAGAGGCGCTTGAGGGCTTTTATAATTAACTTTCCTCTGATGGAGAGTAATTAGAATTTAGTATATTAAAAGGAAGACAACATACGTGGTCAATATTATTTCACGTCCCTCTGGTGTATAGTGATCCATCATTGCTACGTCACTGGTGTATAGTGATCCATCACCTCTACGTCACTGGTGAAGTGATCCATCACCCCTACGTCACTGGTGTATAGTGATCCATCATTGCTACGTCACTGGTGTATAGTGATCCATCACTTCTACGTCACTGGTGTATAGTGATCCATCACCTCTACCTCACTGGTGTATAGTGATTCATCACTTCTACGTCACTGGTGTATAGTGATCCATCACCGCTACGTCACTGGTGTATAGTGATCCATCACCGCTACGTCACTGGTGTATAGTGATCCATCACCGCTACGTCACTGGTGTATAGTGATCCATCACCTCTACGTCACTGGTGTATAGTGATCCATCACCGCTACGTCACTGGTGTATAGTGATCCATCACCGCTACGTCACTGGTGTATAGTGATCCATCATTGCTACGTCACTGGTGTATAGTGATCCATCACCTCTACGTCACTGGTGTATAGTGATCCATCACCTCTACGTCACTGGTGTATAGTGATCCATCATTGCTACGTCACTGGTGTATAGTGATCCATCACCTCTACCTCACTGGTGTATAGTGATTCATCACTTCTACGTCACTGGTGTATAGTGATCCATCACCGCTACGTCACTGGTGTATAGTGATCCATCACCGCTACGTCACTGGTGTATAGTGATCCATCACCGCTACGTCACTGGTGTATAGTGATCCATCACCTCTACGTCACTGGTGTATAGTGATCCATCACCGCTACGTCACTGGTGTATAGTGATCCTTCACCTCTACGTCACTGGTGTATAGTGATCCATCACTTCTACGTCACTGGTGCATAGTGATCCTTCACCTCTACGTCACTGGTATAGTGATCCATCACCTCTACGTCACTGGTATAGTGATCCATCACCTCTACGTCACTGGTATAGTGATCCATCACCTCTACGTCACTGGTGTATAGTGATCCTTCACCTCTACGTCACTGGTATAATAATCCTTCACCTCTACGTCACTGGTGTATAGTGATCCTTCACCTCTACGTCACTGGTGTATAGTGATCCATCACCTCTACGTCACTGGTGTATAGTGATCCATCACCTCTACGTCACTGGTGTATAGTGATTCATCACTTCTACGTCACTGGTGAAGTGATCCATCACCTCTACGTCACAGGTGTATAGTGATCCATCACTTCTACGTCACTGGTGAAGTGATCCATCACCTCTACGTCACTGGTGTATAGTGATCCATCACCTCTACGTCACTGGTGTATAGTGATCCATCACCTCTACGTCACTGGTGTATAGTGATCCATCACCTCTACGTCACTGGTGTATAGTGATCCATCACCTCTACGTCACTGGTGTATAGTGATCCATCACCTCTACGTCACTGGTGTATAGTGATCCATCACTTCTACGTCACTGGTGAAGTGATCCATCACCTCTACGTCACTGGTGTATAGTGATCCATCACCTCTACGTCACTGGTGTATAGTGATCCATCACCTCTACGTCACTGGTGTATAGTGATCCATCACCTCTACGTCACTGGTGTATAGTGATCCTTCACCTCTACGTCACTGGTATAGTGATCCATCACCTCTACGTCACTGGTGTATAGTGATCCATCACCTCTACGTCACTGGTGTATAGTGATCCATCACCTCTACGTCACTGGTGTATAGTGATCCTTCACCTCTACGTCACTGGTATAGTGATCCATCACCTCTACGTCACTGGTGTATAGTGATCCATCACCTCTACGTCACTGGTGTATAGTGATCCATCACCTCTACGTCACTGGTGAAGTGATCCATCACTTCTACGTCACTGGTGTATAGTGACCCATCACTGCTACGTCACTGGTGTAGTGATCCATCACCTCTACGTCACTGGTGTAGTGATCCATCACCTCTACGTCACTGGTGTATAGTGATCCATCACCTCTACGTCACTGGTGTATAGTGATCCATCACTCTGGTGTATAGTGATCCATCATTGCTACGTCACTGGTGTATAGTGATCCATCACCTCTACGTCACTGGTGAAGTGATCCATCACCCCTACGTCACTGGTGTATAGTGATCCATCATTGCTACGTCACTGGTGTATAGTGATCCATCACTTCTACGTCACTGGTGTATAGTGATCCATCACCTCTACCTCACTGGTGTATAGTGATTCATCACTTCTACGTCACTGGTGTATAGTGATCCATCACCGCTACGTCACTGGTGTATAGTGATCCATCACCGCTACGTCACTGGTGTATAGTGATCCATCACCGCTACGTCACTGGTGTATAGTGATCCATCACCTCTACGTCACTGGTGTATAGTGATCCATCACCGCTACGTCACTGGTGTATAGTGATCCATCACCGCTACGTCACTGGTGTATAGTGATCCATCATTGCTACGTCACTGGTGTATAGTGATCCATCACCTCTACGTCACTGGTGTATAGTGATCCATCACCTCTACGTCACTGGTGTATAGTGATCCATCACCTCTACGTCACTGGTGTATAGTGATCCATCACCTCTACCTCACTGGTGTATAGTGATTCATCACTTCTACGTCACTGGTGTATAGTGATCCATCACCGCTACGTCACTGGTGTATAGTGATCCATCACCGCTACGTCACTGGTGTATAGTGATCCATCACCGCTACGTCAC